GCAGATCTTCAGCCAGGGTTGGTAGCAAGTCTCCCGGTCCGCTTTCCAACCACAGGGTTCCCCATGCTTCCTGAGATCATTAAAGCCTACTTTCGATACGAACGGGGAACCGATGTTTCGACGGTGAACTAGAACCTTTTTAAGTATTATTTTATGGAAGTTTCAATATTCAATATTTATGAGTTGTATATTTAGAAATTTGCTTCCCTCACTAAAATGCAGCGATTCATATATATAGCTGAGTAGAACGATAATGTAGGGACAGAGCAACTTATTGGACATTTTTAGCCGTCCTCCTCAGTAAGATATAGCGCTTGTGGGTCGATGGTGACACCTGACTTTTTGAGACACTTGCACGACTCTCGGAAGGGAGTGGGGGTACTTTGTCGCTGGAGGAATGGAAGGTCGTTCTTGCTTTTGAGATAACCTTTTCTTTTTTGACTTTTCTAGGTTTTCCGTTATAGAGGCGCTGTCCCCCTCCTTTCCGCACTCGTCCCCTTTTCTCCCCCGCTCTTTTTTAGGGAAACATCAGAGGATTTTTCGAAGAAAAAAATCGGAAACATGATGTGAAGCCGGGTAGACTTTGGGAAGATAGTATGGTAGGGGGGATGGGAAAGGGGTCGTACCAGAGAAGGAAAGTGTGAGGGCGGGGGATTTGAATGATTTCTGCAATTTTTCAGGATGAATTTAGCCACTCTTAGTTTTGCATTCTTTAATGTTCCTTTTAAAAAATTCGGGCTGATGGTTGATGAAATCCACGAAGCCCGATGCCTCAAATGCGCCTGCTCAACATGCGGACTTAAAGTGCCCATAGCAATCAGCCCTTTTTAGAAGTGGCGTTTCAAAACCAGAAGAATAAACTCTCCTACAGTGTGGGACAAAGCGATGAAGTAGGGGTTCAAAAATTCGGACAAATCAATATTCAGAAGTGTCGCAAGTTGATGAATTACTGACCTCATGTGACGGCGTCGGATTTTTTTTGTGGCAACTGTCGATTAGATACCGAAAGTCGTAGCGCGAGAAAATTATGTCTGGTTCTGTTGTTTTATATGGCTCCAGATTGATGCATGATCATTTGCGAAAGGACAGGTTGGTTCCGATATGATGTATGAGTTGAAGACGGCCTGCCAAAGTTTTCTAGAAATTGAGCAGTCTTAAAATTTATAGACAAGAGCGTGACTACTGGGAAATAACCACGTGCGTACACTTTCTTTCCCGGAATTTCGTATCATCTGTTCTTTTTTACTTCCGAACCACTGTTTGCTTGATGTTATAAATAAAAGTAAAGTTTGAAAAAAAATTTTTTCTAACCAAATAAGTGTCTTGTTTGTCCCCTTTTGCAATAACTGAATCGCTCCTGCTGAAGATATTTTTGGGTTATTCAACAGCTGAATCGTTACACGATCTGTTTTTGTCTTCGGTCTTTCTTCGCCTCGTCTAGGAAGACGGCATGAGGGCAGTTTTTTGGCGAAGCACAACTGTACTTTGATCGCGAGAGCGCGACTATGAATTATGCATAGCAAAATAGCATCTCACCACCCATCTCGGGAGAAATAACCATTGCGTCAACGCTATTTTAGCCCACATTTGTAGCTGAGGTCATCATGGCGAGCGTTCCAAGAGCTGACTTGAAAGGAATTGTAAATGTCTGGCTAGTCCAAATTTCGAAAAAAGTTGATACGAAATGCCTTCGAAGTATCTGAGAATCCGAGGACAAAAGACTGAACAAATGGGGATCTAGTAGAGTTGCA